AGTTATACGACAAGAATACACGCACAGTATTGGTCCATAAATAAATCCCCAAAAAATTACCACTCATTATTCATATTGGGACGCATCAGAAGTCTTCATAAGTTATAAATGTTAAGTTGGTTGAGTGGGATTGTGTTTTGAGGCTTGGATGTACTAAGTTCGATCCCATTCAAGATCTGGGGCGTATTAAGTATTAAGCAGTGTCAAATTGAGGGGCATTAGTTGTCTTATGTTGCAAGTTTTATGGGATTCTGCAGTTCGATAGTATCCGCTGCCCAGTCAAATTCCTTAAATAGTTTACACACACTACGTAAAACGTAACTACCTTTTTGTTAAATCGAGACCATATTTTGCTGTTGATTTTAATACATAAAGTCATGAGGTTTTGCTAATGACTACTACGTAATTGAGTAATAATTTAGTCTACAGTCAGTAAGTTGCATTCTCAATGGGTACTCTAATGTGATGATATTATCTTATTATAATTGCTGCGAAGATTTTTTTGGGAAGGTTTTTTTTATCTTCGTTTGTTGTACGCGACTATCCAAATAACATGTAACTACATGAAACCTTTTCAGCTATTTTAAATACTTGAAAGTAGTATGGCTTCAAATTATTTTTCTAGAAATATTCGACAAAGGTCTATTTTATTGGTTTAGTTTTATTAAAGTATGGTATTTTAATGTACGAGCTGAAAAGAATTAGTTATTCAAAAAGTCATACTTTTACCAATTGTCTTACTTTTCATTCATACATTAAATTTGTATTCTTTAGAAAAGTCTAAATTAGTTTATAACTCAAAGTTTATCTCATTTTACTTGTTCGTTCAAGGTTTCGAACGTAGGTGGGTTGTAGTCTTTGTCGACCTCAAGGGTAACTTGTAAAGCTTATCTTTGTGGTAAGAAGGAAAATAGATATAGTCTGAGACCATAGGGATCTTAGTAGATAAGTCTAAATTCTTGCTCATGTGACTTGGAATGACAATGGATCTTAGTCATTTCCTTTGGAAATTTTGCAGTGCATATGGGAAGTAGGGTCTTTTTCATCCCTTCATTTTATCTGATGAAAATATGATTACAATGCCCATATGTGAATTATCTGCCGTCACTTGATGACCATTCAGCTATAAAACATTCAATAAGGGAATATTAGCAGGTATTCCAGAGATTGAGAAGACGGAGTTGATCTGGAAAATGTGATGTATTTGCGCTATACATTTCGAACAATCTAGTCACACATATACTTGTCATGGCATTTTATATGAAAATTAGTAAAGGTCCTTTCAATGAAAGTCCAAGTAAAAATAGACAATTTAATCATAAGGTATTCAGTATTATTGTGTTATTTTTTAAAGACTACTTTGTAGCTCAGATATCCGTGAGCCAGTGAATTACTCCGAACAATCTAAACTTAGTGTTTGATATTAAGTAAATAATTTATTCACATTCGAAGTGACAAAACACCTAACTAGAAAATGAATAATTTATCTTAGAATATTCTAGAGATGAATTTTAATGAGTTTGTCTCCAACTTATATAGGTCAATACTTCACGAACTAGAAATTAAAATAATTCTAACACTCACTTATAAACCGATACACACTCTTTGGTAGTGACCTACGGTTTTCGCATGAGGTTCCTCACTTAAAGTGGTATAAAACTAAGTGTGCTTTTTGTCATATGGAAAGTCGATGTTTACTTATCTACAAATTAGCCTAAGATTCTACAAGAAGTCTATGAATTGTCAATATATATCGAACATATTCATCTGTAAAGTATGCTTGTACATAACAAACTGTTAGGACTGATTCGGTTATCAGTACAAAATGTTTAAGACAGTGGAATATACATGTCAGTGTGAATTGGGATCAGCTAAAACTTAATACATTCGATTGGTGGAAAGACTAATATCTGTACGAAATATATTGTTCTCTTAATGAGAAAGGCTACAGCACTTATTTGATTCTGGGTGACCTTTGTTTGATAAAGAAATAAGCAAAATTACCCATAAATGGTTTTCTTTTAACTGGAAGGTTTATGAAAAAGGATAAGTGTTGTTAATTTATGAAGAAAAACCGTAAACACTGGGAATATAGTGGCAAACGGAATGAAACGTGCGTCTTGGATTCCACTGCTAGCCATCATTCATCTTTGCTCAAACATAAAAAGTCATGGTATTCAATAAGTTGTAATTAATTATCAATATTAAGTAGCAAGCCTATAATAAGTTTATCAAAAGCGAAATTTACTGGAATTCATTCTACGTTATTGATTGATTGATCTTATTTCACCTAAACTATATAAAGCTACTTGATTAAAAAGTTGTAAAGGCGTGTTCATTACAATTAAGTTCAATTATCATATTGAAAAAATATCTAAACAATAACTATAAAAATAGATGCAGTTAAAGAATGACCCTGAAAAGAAAGATAATCTGATAAAATAAATTCTGGTGTTACAAATGTTATATCCGAGCGAAGATTAAATCACGACTAACTTCTGAGACATATTAATTGACTAATATTATCGATATATTCTTATGGTATAGTCATTCAATAATTAGATTATGTATATTTATATTCCTCTTATTATAAGCTTTATTTTGACCTATAATTTATTATTGTAGGATTCACGGTTCTTAAGTTATGTTCAGTTTATTGACTACTGCCTCCCACGTTCAGACACATTTGGCCAAATATTGTACAAATGTTATTTCTTATTTTATGGTGCGTTGCGGTCTGTTTGTTTGATATATAAACCGAGTATGTTTGAAATAAATGATTCATATTGCGGAAGCTGGTATTGATGTTCTGGACTCAAGTGGACGGGCTAGAAGGACATAGGACCAATAAGTACGCTCGTACCAGTCGAACGTCATTGGTTTGGGACAGTGCTACGATTGTATAGGTCGTATTTCGACTGGTGGATAAATCACATGATAAAAAGCCGGACATAAAGTCATAACAACAAACATGTATTTAAATGATGAGTAACATGATTTTTCTGTCTTATGGAAATATAAATGTTTGTAACTGTATCATGGAAATATAACTTTGTAGTTGATACAAAGCATTCAACATTATTGAGTGAACAAATAAAACTACTGTAAATCTTAGTATAATATTGAGATATTTTAATTAAGTGTAAATCTATTTCTATGTACTAACAGCACTCAGAAAAAAAGTGAACTCGAACAACATTCAAATACGATTGATTTCGATCTGTTCAAAACTGTAAACTACTTAAAACAAATATTAGTGTCTTGTAACATTTTTGACAGTCGGTAAAATTATACTACTTGGCTGAGATTTTACAAATACATTCTTCCTCTTTAAGACCTCTACTAGTTTCGTTTCGTTTTCAAGTATTTTCCGTAGTGAGTGAAATCAGAAGGTGACTGTCCTCCACACATCTCCAACACACCTGATGAAACAGATTCAGAATCAACAAAAAATAGCCAAATTCCAAAGTGAATAGAAATGAAAGAACGTTGATAGCACAGTACTAAGTAAGGATCACATATCTATCATATGAAAACTAAGAGATAAACTCGAGCATGATACTTTGCCTAAAGATAATTTCCACAACCGAAATCCACCCAAAATGAAATACTGAAATTCAATAGTAATTTTGAAAAATTGTAGTGTTCATTCTGATGGATTGATTTTAGAGTCTTGATGACAAATTTCTCCAAACGTTTTACATCACCTAGAGGATTAAGAATTGTACGTTATGGGCTAGTACAGAACTTGAACATAACATCTTCCTTGCGACCCGCGATTACTGAGTATTTTTTTGGTAATATCAATTTCTTACAGAATCTTATGATGTATACTTGTATATAGCGGTACTCCATTGAAGTAACAGGGAAGCTTCTGCATATTGGTGATAATTTTATACTCTTTCAGATTTTTGGAACGTAAACTAAGGCTCCTTTATCTGATGACGAATTCGATAGAATTAATCGCATTACGAATACAAATTGACCTTCTGGAACAAATAAATTAGCTCGAAAAGTTATGAATTTTCTAGAAAAATCAATTGTAAAACATAAAAGTCTATCCAGCTACTAAACTGCCCTTCAATTATAAAGAAAAACTACTCATCATGTAAGATTGACAGTTTACAAATTTATTTTGATAATCTTAGCTGCGTTAAGAAACCTAAACACAGATAAGTATATACTATTCTTACCTATTAACTTAAATTCACTTGCTTGTTCAATCTTCACCTATGTGAATTTAGCTTTATGATTTTGAGTATTAGAATTTTCACACTATGACTGGATAGCAATTTAGAATAGTCAACCAGGGTAACTGGTTAGTCATCAAGTACTACGAAGTTGCTTTCTTAAGAGAGTGGTAGAATCAATGAGAAAAACGATCACTAGCACTTCGTCCTAAAATCATGTCATTGAGCGATAATCAATATACTAGTCTTTTAATATAAGGTCAGACAGAAACACACTGACCACAGTTTTCATACTTACAAATAAAGAAAGCAACAAAGGTTTTCATTCTTGGGTATTTCTGGAAGGCAAGTGCCGAATAACATGGCTACTCCTCTCAAAAGTCTGAAAAACAAAACGAATAATACGAAATTCATCACAATACAACAGTAACCTAAGACTTTGTTGACATCGATTTCTGTATTTCTTTTGAGTGTCATTGGCTAGTCCGTTTTAGATCATTACAACCTTCAACAAATATTCTGGTTTTTTTCAGACACGAAATGTCTAACATAAACAAAAGCTGTTATGTTAATTTAACCTGAATAAAAGCTTTGGTTCAAATTATTTTTTCTATTTTAATACTGAGGTCTGTAAATAATCATGCACATTTTGAAGGAACATATGAGGTCAATGAAGTGTGTATAAATTTATAAATGTGGTTGCTAGCCAGATCAGTGTATACAAATACGATAGTTTCAGTACATTTCACCACACAATAACACCAAGTAAACACTATAAAAGACAATATAACAGTGTGAACTTTAAGGTTAGTCTAGTTAGAAATATTTATTATAATTACTTATTCCTACTACCAAATGTATACTAATTATCATCACAGCCTTCGAGCAGTCACACACATTGAACAGAGGAAAGTTTAACCAATGACGCAGAAAAATACAAACATGATATAAAATGCATATTAAAAAAAGAAGAAGAAAGGACCGTCACAAAAACGATACAATAAAACTGTTTAAAAATAAAAAAAGTTATCACCATTACAAAACAGAGCTAATAATACAAAATAAATAATTAAATTTACTTGGAATGTTGATCAAATATACAAAACCACCACCACAACAACAACAGGAAGTAAATCAGAGGTAATAGTAATAGTTTCTTGTAAAACAATGATATGCAAAATTGGTTTGAGCAGTAGAATGTCTTTTTTCTTTTAAATGAAAGGCATATGTAGGGAAATTACATTTTAAAAAAAGTTAACTGATAATTTAATAAAGGGAATGAACAGAAAAAAAACTAACTTAACTGTATACATGTGTTGCTGAGAGAGGTTAAAATTTGCATTCGAAAATTAAGCAAAACAATAGAAAAGTGAGCAGAGAAAAAAGTTTGCAAGAAGTAAATAATTTTTGAGTACTTTGCACAATTTACTTACGAACATATCGTATACTTTTATCTTGAAGTAAATGTATACACAAATTAAACAAATCATTTATTATCTCTGAAGGAAACAGAAATGATTTTAAAATCCAGAAACATCAACCACACTTATATCAGCTTGTTCTTCTTTGGTTTTACACTCCTCCTATGGTTGGGAAATTTTTTTAAAAAGAAATAAAGAGAATGAATTGAACATTCAATGAGATTTAATATTATTTGATTGAATATAGTTACCAATGAATTATGAACTTATATTTTTTCCGTAGTTTTACCCTAGACAAGGATAATAATCAGCAATTTGATTTTACAAAAATTCAGTGTCACCTGAGTTTTAAATCACCAGTCTAGCATTCTAACGTCAAGCTATTTGAGGGAAAAGTGACAGTTGTAGGGTTGGATTAAAATCTTATAGGATGAAGAGTGAAATGTTTGAAAGATTTAACTTTCAATGATTGAGTTAGGAACGCGAATCTTACCCTGCATATAGTGGTATAAGTAGCCGGGTAGCACCATCATATATAGACATGTACTACTTAGATGAGTTACAGAAATCAAAGAATGGTATTACTCCTCTAATTTCAGTAACCAATTGGCAATCTATTGATCAAGATTATGCAATATAATATGACGTATGAGCGTGCACAGTATTTACAGTGAGTAAACAGTAATAAACAATGAGAAACAAAATACACAGTGAACAAAAAATATACCAACACCGTTTACATGGACAAACAAAGGACAAAAAACATAACATAGATTGTAATTTAAATACACAATGAACCAGCCATATATATGTAGGTGCTACAAAACTTGCGATAAAGGCACGTATAAAAGCAAAAACTAAATAGTAATTTTACAATGTAGACAGACAGTGTATAACTATACCCTTTGAAACGTGCTCAATTATGAAGCGACTATTCTCTAAAATTATATTAATCGTCTTACATGAAAGTAATAATAAGGGACTTATAAGGGCATGTTCTATGTATGAAGACAAGATAGAACGATTACAATCATATATTAGTATGTAATACTTTTTTAAACAACATACTAATTCTTGTAAGTTGAGCCAAATTATCATAAAAGGACAACAGAACAATGAAATCCATAAAAAATGAGATTATCAATACTTATAATAAAAATAAACAGCTAAGTTGGTTTAACATAATCGGATATACGATTTTGAGTACGATATCAATATTTTTGTCATTAAGCCTAGAATGTAGACGAAACTGATAAAAAACGAGTTGTTTGTAACAAGTTAAGATAAACACCAGTGACTTCAAAAAGTCAAATAAATGGATATATACAATATAGGACCGGCTACAAACATATATTGGTTGTTGTTGCACCCAATATCACCGTATCAAAACGAATATCAAACGACTAAAATCAATAATGGCATTCAGGAGTTAAAAGGAGATAAAAAGAGAAATTCGACTAATACACTCTGGGGTCAGACTCAAATCATATTACACGGATAAGTCCATTTTATACTAATCAGTCCTTATGGATGAACCGAGAACACATTAGAAGATTTCCAATAAACCGTATGCAATCTCTTTTCACCAACAGATCTTTTATTACTCAAGTTTGTCAGAATATATAGTTTCCAATTAATTCATGTTCTGATTTGACAAAAGTAGAGTGAAGTTAATGGGATACTACACAGAGGAAAACATAGCAGCTGATGAACTACAAATAATGCTTTGGTCGGGTTCGATAGTGATGTCAAGAACGAAAGATAGAGCGCATGTACTGGCCACCTTTTTTCGTATCCGTGAGTTCAACTAGTTCTAGAGAGCAAATCAGATTGGTAGATGTTCTAGTAATTTACTTTTCCATGTTCGTGAACATCTTCAAACGTAGCTAAAAGACATAGAAAGTTTTATCTATGCCTACGTGGTTCAGACGAAATATGATGCTAACATTAGTCAGTCATTTTTAAAAATTTACAATGTTAAAAGTAATTCTTTTAAATTTCCCGGGCTCCGCATTTTCTGAATCCCAAAAGCGGCTGCAATACGAATGTAAAAGCTGAGATTTGAATCCAAAATAAATAGGTCCACTGCAATATGTCTACTTTGACCAGACTAATAATCTTCAAACAATAAAACGAATAAATAAACCTTATGTGAATATCGCCATCCCTTCTACACTTTTTAAAATTCAAATTCATCTGATTCAATCACATTATTATGTTAGAACAACTTAGTACTCACTCCATATTTATTTTTCTCGTAATTAATTAGTAGATCACTTAATGTATATTAGAATGTCTGGTTTTATTGTTATCTATATTGTTTCTCCTCACCTTATATATGGTGGTTTTTGAATTTTCATTTGACAAATACCAGATTCACATATAAATTGCATGTTACTTACTTCGGCAGTTACAAACAATCTTAAATTCATGAAGATTATTACCCACAATCCATCGTTATATATTACTGTAGATATATAGTAATAGCACCTAATAAGAGCTTGTTAAAAGGATTACTCTTCGTTCCATAAAAATGAACTTATTTAAAATGAGTATAGCTGATCTCAAATAGCTTTATCTTGGGTTGTGAATGGCAGTCTGTGGATTCGATTTGTCCACTCCGAATTTTAGTTTTTAGATTGGAAAATCGTGGAATAAGCTAAGATGCGTTACTTTTAAGGCTCAACTTTTCTAACACATCCTTTTATTATGGAAAGGCGCGATATCTAGAGGAGAGGCATATGCAAATACGAGGAAAATTCAACCCAGAGCTCATGTAGGACGATTTATTAAAAGATTGTGTCGTTATTTTTCTAAGTCTTTGTGGATTGGGAAAGAAGTTAAACACTTATTAAACGACGGACTACATAACCACATTTGATGACTTTAATGTCGTACCAAACAGGATAAGAAAAACAGTGGAATACAAATTGAAACCATCAAAACAACTAAACTAAATATACACAGAAGTAGATTTTAGATAAAATGTGCGTCTACATGCAGATAAATGTTCCATTTTCTCATGCAGTAAACAAAGAATAAAATACCTTGTTCTTCGAAAAATCCTTGAGGTGCCTCTTCCTTTAAATAATATTAAGATAAATATGTATTGATAATAAGGGTAATAAAACAAGTACAGCAAAATGAGGAATACAGTATGCAAATATGAGATTGAAACTTAACTTACCTCTTGAATTAAATCTTGCATGTCAATGTCGTTTAAAGCGCTTTCTTTGCCAGTCTCCTGAACTTCTCCTCCTAACATAAACTCATCTAATACGTAGTATGCCTTTTCAAAATGGAATATAATGTCGAGTTCACAAACCTAATTGAAAATATAAGTCAGATATTAATTACCGCATAAAGAAAAAAATGGTGATCTCTTAAATTTGATTGACATTTTAAATACGTTAAGTTGGTATTCAAAAGCGCGCACTCAATCTTTGAAGCAGTTGGTTTGAGGTTAGAAACTCGCCTTATCTACTTTGCTTTGGTTAGCTCACAGAGTGTGATCCTAGGTTGAGTACGAAGAATGTAATTGACTATTGAGTAATATTAGCCTGCACTCAAATGTTCAGAATTATCGCATAGTGTTTTACTATTTACGAAATATTTTTCGACTAGGCCAAGAGATGGAAAAATACTAGGGTGCAGCAAGTTTTGGAAACAGAAACAATAATAATTACAGTGGAAATACAAATTACTTTTAACTGTTTCACTTGGGATCAGTAAGAGAAAATCATAGCAGCGAATCATAAATGATTAAAGGCCAGGGAGAGACAAATGAAAGTGAAAGAGAACGACAGCGTATGCAATAGTCCAAGTGATCTTCTGGAGCTAGTCGTGTAGAGTGTACAATTTATCACTCAGGCCATAAAATCCTGGAACCCCATCTTGTTTATCAGATCGCTGAACAAACCCTTATGACGTTGTGTTCCATGAGAACGTATCTACCTGTAGCACACTAGTTTCTTATATTGTGAAGAATTCGTGTTTTCCTATGGTTCTTAGTATCAAGTGTGGTTGTGGCAGTAGGCTAAAACATATAAAGCATCACACTCTAACATCTTGGATTATTGCATTTCCAATCTACGGATCAAAATGTACCTTAAAAGCGATGGAAGCAATTTTTGAAACGAATTTAAACCAACTGTAAACAAACAAGAAAGTACGACAGTACTGAAGATCCCCATCTTAAATTTTAGTAAAAAGGACGAATAGGAAAAGTGAAATTGATATTCGACTAATTTTTCATCATAGCTCTCTCTCTCTCTTTCTCTCTCTCTCTCTCTCTCTCTCTCTCTATATATATATATATATATATATATATATATATGTCATTTAGAGTAAAATAATACTGATCGAGTGGTTGCGTTACGTAATTATGCAATGTAGCAACTGTATGATTTTTCGGACGATTGCTTTTACCATAATTTTTTGTTCCGACTACTCAGTGGTATTTGATAATCAATGTGGCATTATACATTTATTGAGTAATACAACTACTTGATGGGTACTATCTCATTGTCGCGAACTACATATATATGGAATCGTGGGGAAAAACTAATTGAAGAGAAATTTTTCTCGTTCTATAGGCTTTTTTAACAAAATGTACAAGAATTTAAGTCTGAAAAGGTTGATTATGGTCATGTATACATAGGACCTAATTGCGTAGCACTCTATTGAAGCTCTAGATCGATCAAAAACTACAATAAAGCTACAGCCTAACTGCTGTTACCCTTCAACATGTATACGTGTTTTTATGCGACCCGCAGCTTCCGGTGCAGTGCTGATACACTACAGCTGCCCAAACCGAATCAGGTAGGGCGGGTTTCGGAAATGCAATCTATTGTCAAAAAAAAGTGGAGAAATATCAAGACTAACCGTTTTCAAATGAGTCTAATAACTAAAAGACCTAAATTCCTCCTGGTAAGGCACTAGATTTACTACAAAACTTAACGTTCCATTCAAATCGGTTTTAGTTTGACCTATCCAGACACAAACAGGTTAATTTCATTTAAAAGGATTATGATCAATACGAGACTTCTTTGAGAAAAAAATATAATTGTTATGGGTTCCAACAAGCATAAAAATAGAGTCGTTTGAAACCTCTTGATTTTTATTTATACGACTAGGATATGGATAACCTGCCGTCGCAACGTTATGAAAATATACTGAAATAACATGAAAACTCTAGAGGTTCAACTTACGCTACCAAAATACTTATCTAAAAGTTCCACATATCTGTGGATTATTTCCAAAGTCAATAGCTCATTGTCCTGGGGTTCAACTGCAGCACAGAAGTATAGACTAGCATAACTAAAAACGTTAATTACAAAACCAGAATGAACGTGCCGACGATAAACAACTTTCAAGTCCTTCCATTCAATAAATGAACACATTTTTGGCTTTCGTGAAAGCACAATTGTAGTGAGATCGCGTAAAATTTTTTTCTTTTCTTTTTCAGAATAGGAAATATACCACTTTTGGAGCCTTAATTTTCCCTGGCGGCTAAACAAGATCATAAATTGCATCTAAAAATTAACAATTGAGAATGCTTTCAGAATTACCATCTTAACAAGAACAGGTTTTAACAGATGAGTTGGAAATACGTCAGAATGGAAATAACCGCCAGTTACACGCCCAAAGGCGACCCTGAGATTCTGTCGGTTTCAAATTGTTTTGTAAAACCGAAGAAATTTTCTACTTTACTGCTAGTGATGATTGCATTAAAATATCCACATAGTGCAGAAGTTATGGGTACAAGATGGAAAACTGAATCATCAACTCATTCAAAGACTGACATCAGGGAATGGAAATCTATCAAACAGTCCTTGAGGCTCAAAAACATACTGACTCAGCATGTGATGAGACTAGCCAAGAAGGACGGTGATTCCAGACCCCGGCTAATGAAGATAACTGCCCAATCCTCCCACACGGCGGCTGCAACTCTGGAGGCCGTTCGTGCCAATAGACGTCGGTTGACAGCTGGAATCCACATGCACCCAGATAGGCCATATGAAGCTAGGACCAAGCACAAAAGCAAGTCGTGGCTGACCATTCCACTTGTGGACTGTCTCGATGGCAAAAAAACGTGTAAAGAACAGGGCCTACCAACTCAGCAAACATTATATAAGTAGGCTACCTGTCCATTCACGTAAGGCTCAAACAGACAAACAGGAAGAAGCTCACGCGTTTCAAATCGAAAGCATAAACTGCTTATACATGAACGCCGCGAGTCTACCAAACAAAATGGATGAGCTACGTGAACTTAGTAATACTCATAAGGCTCATTTAATAGGAATAACTGAAACTTGGACATCTCAGTTCTCGGACCAGGAGTTAGCAGTGCCTGGGATGTCTTTGTTTCGCAACGACAGAAAATCAGGAATTAGGGGTGGAGTAGCCATGTACACACTTTCTTGCTTGGAGGTACACCAAGTTCATAACCTCGAGTTTAACAATCTTGAGGAATCCATATGGTGCTCTGTAAGATTGTCTGCTACTTCGAGGTGTCTAGTCGGACTCATATATAGGAAGCCCACCGCCGACATTGAGTACGACAGTCTTATGCTGGAAGGACTATCCCGCTCTACTCGTCTCGGTTTCACACACATCCTGATTCTAGGGGACTTTAATCTCCCTACAGTCAACTTCGCGGAACACACGTATGCTGGAGGCGACAGCTCAATTGAAGCTCGGTTCTTCAACCTCATCGATGACTTGGGATTGTTCGAAAATGTGAGGTCGGCAACTCGTTAGAGAAAAAGTCAAACATCATCGCACTTAGGCTGTGTACTCACAACCTCTCAATCCTGGCTCCCCTGGGAATAAGCGATCATGCCGTCATAGCCCTCAGTTTTGTCTGCAAAACTAAGCTAAGATACCCCACCAATAACTTGCGTTGGAATTTTAAACGGTTGAATGTGCCAGCTCTACACGACTATCTACCACAGGTGGTTTGGGATGTTCACCCCCAACTCAATGTAGATGGTCATTGAGACTTCTTACTGCACACGCCCTTATGTGCTACAAACCATTCAGTTCCTCAAACGGTTCCCAAAAGCTGCAAGCCACCTTCAATAATCAATAACCGTACCCTTCGCCTGCTAAGCCACGAAAGGCACTGTTGGACGGAATACAAACGAACTGACAACGACGGAGCGTACAGGCAATATAAACATAAAAGGAACATATGCACGAAGACTATAAGAGGAGACAGGTTTCAGTACCAGACAAAGCTTATGGACAAATTTGCCTCTAATCCTAAAAGCTTATTCCGTTATGCAGCCTCTCTTCGTCAAGCCAAAACAGGAGTTTCCCAACTGCTAGGTATTAGCTGCCCGACCAACAACGATGGCGACGCCGCTAACCTTCTGGCGGCACATTACTCTCAAACATTTCAACCGACTGACATTAACTTTACTGATGACAGTTTCGTTTCGTTCCGAAGTGAACCTAAGCGCTGAGACTGCAGCACTTAAGATTAGACACTTCTCCTGGCCCGGACATGGTCCATTCCGCCATACTGAGGGAAGCAGCCTCAATCTTGGTAACACCGCTTAGCGTAATGTTCTCACACTCGCTAAGTCGAGGAAAACTACCGGAAAATTGGAGGCTGGCTCACATCACACCAATTTTCAAAGGAGGTCGAAGCAGCGAACCTTCAAGTTACCGACCGGTGGCTCTTCTCTCCATACCTTCAAAAATCATGGAGTCCCTGATATGCGATGGTATAAATGACTATTTACTGTCCTTAAATTTCTTTTCACCCCAACAGCATGGTTTCAGGAAGGGTTACTCTTGTATTACCAACCTGCTGACTGCTGTGGACAGATGGACGAGCATCCTTGATCACAAGGGAAAGGTTGATATCATCTACCTAGATTCCTCAAAAGCTTTTGATAAGGTTAACCATACATGTCTTATCAATAAGCCCAAACGATTGGGTATCAGACCACCTCTAATCGATTGGCTCACTTCATACCTGAAAGATCGACATTTTAAGGTCAGGGTTAATTTCAATTTATCTCAGGCTATGGAATGTCCTGGTGGGGTCCCCCAGGGCTCAGTACTAGGGCCTCTTCTCTTCTTGATCTACATAAATGATCTTCCTCAACAGGTAACGTCAGACTTATTACTTTTTGCCGACGACGTGAAACTTTGGAGAGAGATAAGCAACCAAGACGATATACAGGCACTTCAGGAGGATCTGACTCGACTTCAAAGTTGGGCAGACGATAACGAACTTACCTTTAACACTTCAAAGTGTAAATTAGACCATCTGCGACACGTCGCAGACTACAGTTATAACTTAGGTACTTCCTCTCTAGTAGTATCCCAGGTCGAAAAAGATTTAGGAGTCCTGGTGCCCCATGATTTAAAGTCTTACGCTAACTGTGACAAAAATGCCTTCCGAGCAAACCTTGCACTGGTAACGTTGAGGCGCATTTTTGGCCAGTTTGACGGAAGAACTTTCCATATAATCTTCAATAGTTTTATCCGTCCCCATTTAGAGTACGGAAACATAGTATTTCCTCCTCATTCCAAAAGGATAAGGACACTCTGGAGCGTATCCAACGGCGAGCCACGAAATCAGTTCGAGGATTCAAATTTAAACCTTACGAAGAGCGCCTCCATTCACTTAACCTTTACCCATCAGAGTATAGACGTCTTAGAGGTGACCTTCTGATGGCTTAAAGTATCCTTAACACTTCTGGACATCCTCTCAAACACCTACTTAAGCTTAGTTCCAACACCAACCTAAGAGGTAACACCCAAAAACTGGAGACATAACATAGCAGAATGGACTGTAGACACAACTTTTACTCCTTAAGAGTTGTCAAATGCTGGAATTCGCTGCCGAGCGAGCTAGTCCAAGCAACTTCCCAGGAGTTCTTTAAGAGGCAACTTGATCTATTCTTAAGGACTAAGGATAGTATCACATTATGATTTACTAATTTCTTTTCCTGTTTTATTGTTGACATACCTAGGTTCCTGCATGGAGGATTTGGTGATCCCCTGCTACTGGACACGAGGCCTGTTAAGCGAAAGCTTCTTCTATTCCGTCCATAACCATAATCATAATGTGATACTATCCTTAGTCCTTAAGAATAGATCACGCTACCTCTTAAAGAACTCCTGGAAAGTCGCTTGGACTAGCTCAGCGGGCAGCGAATTCCAGCATTTGACAAATCTTAAGGAGCATAAAACCATGTAGGACAGGGGTGTTTTGTTCGTTCATGGCTTTTTACTCACGTCCTGTATTCTCTGAGTTGTTCCAGTTTAGTAGAAAAGAAAAAGAAGATGTATTACGTCATTAATCATTTCTCAGTATTTAATACATCAAAATTAGATCGCCTCTTAACCTGCGATAGGACGGAGTAAAGAGATCTAGATTTTCAAATCGATCTTTGTATGGTAAACTCTGGAGTTCTGAAACTGCACGGGTGGCTGTCCTCTGCACTTTTTCAGGGTATCGGAGTTGCCTTTTAAACAATGGCTTGCAGCCTGAACGCAGTTCTAAAGTTTAGATCCCACTAAGGTTGTGTACACTGTAGTGAACATAGTAATATCTAACTTGATAAAACACATAGGGCTCTAAGCTCCTTAGCCGTGGACTCACAATAGTAGACCGTAATCTTATGATCATGACTCACTCCAAGATCCTTTTAAAACCAGACAACGAGTACAGGCATTTCCCCTGTGCTGTACCTATTTACGTTTGTATCCGAAAAGTGCATGTAGACACACTTGGTCGCGTTGATAGGCATCAGTCACTTTTTAGACCAGTTAATCTCGAAGTGCACATGCATCTTTCGTGCCTTAAGGTAACCCTCGTGCTATTGATAGAAGAAACCAGAGAAGTAGTGAATAGGTCTTTATTTCGATCTTCGCGCAGTCACAGTGGAGCGTGGGATTATCCTTTCAGACAAACAAAGGCTTTCAACATTCAAGATAATAGGGAATATAACGCTTATAAAAAATAAGGAAGTGAATGAATACTTGAACACTACTGTTTTGGCATAAGCTTGGTTGTTTGGGGTCAACTCTTAACCAACCAACCTGAGCTGTTACACATCTATGTCTCCTGTCACTTTTCACCAGGTTTCCACATTATCAGCATTTGAGACTCAAGTATACTTTGGATTTAATTTACATACAGTATAAAAATCAAAGGACGTAAGACAGAGCCCAACGTAGCTCCATTAAATACTGGTTTCCAGGAGGTGCACTTGGGATTTATTTTTACTTTCTGTCTACGATCTATTAAGAAATCCCAAACCCATTTTAAGAGAGATTCAGCTAAGCCTAGATTTTCCAGCCTGAAGTCTATTTTTTGGTGCACTACCAAATCCTTTGATGAAGTTTGTACAGACAGCATCCACCGACTTGCTATTCTCTGGAGCATCTGTCTGTCGCTCTCTTGCTATAGGGAGGTTAGTTATACTAGATAACCATTTTCTGAAACCCTGTTGCTCCTTCTTAACAAGTCGTTGGTTTCCACGGATGTAATTATGACCTTTTTGATTATTCTTACCAGTATTTTAAATATGACACTGGTGAGGCTAATAAGTCTGCAGTTCAACGGAAATTGTCTTGATCCTCTTTAATGAATCGATGTGGCCATTGTATCCTTCCAGTCCGTGGGTAACCTGTAGAATTATG